CTTCCTCTTTCCTCCCTTCCCAATATCACATCATATCGTTCTCCCCCTTCCCCTCCTTCTCCCTCTACTTTAAGTTTATCCCCTTATTCATCCCCTTCTATTTCATCCGTTTCTTCTTCTTCCTCTAATTCTTCCACCCCCACTTTAACCCTCCCTGTTTTTAATCGCCCCTTTGTTAATTATAGACTTCTTAGGTGGCCAGAGCCGATGGATCTTGATCCACCTGGCATTTTTATTGAAACTCCTTTCATCCCACCTAATCAATGGCCTGAACCAATGGATCTTGATCCTCCTGGTATCTACGTTGCCATTGATTATGGTTTTTATCCCTTCCCCCTCCGTTTTTAACTGGCCACCACCTCTTCTTCTTCGTAACCTTGGCCGACACTTAAGTAAAGAAAATATATTTTTAATTAAAAAAAAAAAAAAAAAATTTAAAAAAAAAAAAAATACAAAAAAAAAAAAATTCCCCCTTTTTAATATAGTTTCACTAGGGTGCTTATCTTTTGATAAGCATGACTACGATACATACATGGGTATCGTATATATTATTTGAAGTTGGCTGTTTTGTCTTTCCTTTTTGCAATTTTAATACTCTCCCCATTTTGGCCACTTCATCCGTATTCTCTTTTTAGTTTAGATATTAAATCATAGAAAAAATAAAAAAAAAATAAAAAAAATTATATATAAAATATATTCTTACGACTTATGTATTTCGATGATGTTTTTGAGGTGAAAATTTTTTTTAATTATTTTTAATTTTATACCCCTATTATACTCGTTTGCACATTCTTATCACCTCAAATGAACCATCCATTTGATATGTGATGGTTCAAATATTTCTTTACCTGAACGAAGCTTGCCACCTCTACGCGGTGTTCAGGAGAAACGGTTATCATTTGAACTATATCCGGCTAAGCGCAAGCATTTACATTCTTTTAAATTAAATACTATTAAATAAAATCTTGTAAATTTAACGAAAAATGTTTCAATAAAAACTTTTTTTTAACTCTCGAAAAACGTATCTTCAAAAATAATTTTCAATGCGCTATTTGAATAAAACAAAAATTTGGAATGCATCGTTGAATTACGTGATAAATAATAATTTAGGTGTTCAGAACTTTAAGGTCGAACTGTAATTACACACACTTACGACCATTTTTTTTTATGAAAATTATTTTTCGTTTTTTTTTTTCTTGATCGTGAATTTGAGCATCACAATAACTTTTTGGACCGATAGTGAAATTGCGACTTTAAATTTATTAGCATGTTATGTTTTAGTGAAGTGGCAAACGAAGTTGTTACAATTGGACGTTTTAAGACAATTTGTTATTTTCTTAAAAATTTTTAATATAAAATGGTTTGCACTCATTTATCAAGGTGGTTTCTAATTTGGTACTGAATCAATTATTGTATCTTCCCTACCTTCAGTGCATTCAATTGGTCTACAATTAAATACAACGATCCGAATAATTTACACTAGAATATCGCCTATTTTTCGATCTATAAGTGATTATACCCTTGGCCAGTTAATGACAATCGGGAAGATATAGCAAACGATTCTTTGCGAAGAAGCAAACATGGATTGCTGCAAGGATAAACCACCTACCATACCCGTTAGTTCCATGCAATCTTAGATATTACGGAAATTATTTTCTGCCCATATTCCATCATTAATTCCGAACCTCTCTACCAAATTCTTTTGACCAGGAAATAGAAAAGGTAATTAAAGGATATCTTTTGGATTTTAGTACATTACAGTATCCTCCGAAAGTTTCTTTACATCGATCATGATATTTTGAGCATCGTTTCCGGAACTAATAAGAAATTATCAACAGATTACAAGAAATTTATAAATGCACTTTTTTTTTTGTATATTGGCCCTCATCTTTACTCGCCTGAACCTTCATATTTTATTTTTTCTGTAATGAGAACTTTGTGAACGCAGAAAAAATTGACACACCTTAAAAAAAGGAATCGTTACTCAAGTATTTTGCCTTGATATTCATCTAAATGTTGAATATCAAAAAAGGCAATGTTAGTTAATGTCGCAACAACATTATTTTTATAAATCATCTTTAGAAAGTCAGACGTAAAGACCGGTATCAAGTACACTTCTTACCGCATGATCGATTTCAACAGGCTCTTTAAAGAAGTAAGAGAGTAGGATGGTTGTAGTGTTCACATTGCTTTAAAATTTACAGAGGATGTCTATATTACTTTAACGACTAGTATGATTTTTGGAATTATCAATAATTACAATAATTATCAATGTAGAAAATGCAAAAAATATTCGTTTACTATTGATTATACAAATTTTGTGAGTAGAAATAATATTATAAATGAATTTCTTTTCTAATTTTAAATATTTATAAGCTTAACAAAAATAGCAGAATAAATTATAAATCAAAATACATTTGGTCACAATATAAATGAATCAAAAATTCTCAAAATATCAAAAAGGTTTTTAACGAGGTAATTATTTGTTAAATTTATTTACATTATAGTTAAATCAATGCAGAATGTGGTTAATTTGTGTAATAATTTTAAAAAATTAATTTTAACGATAAATAAATCATCTACTTTCTCGGGTGTATTTATATGTTTAATATGTATTTTTAATATTTTTATATTATTTAAAAGTGAAAATCTCGTAAGACAAATAATGAAAAGAAATAATGTTACATTGCATCTGAATATTTGATGATACTAAATTTTCAAATTTCCGATATTTATAGTTTGGGTATGATCATGTGTTGCAATAAATTTGACATAATATTAACTTTATTTTATGAAATCATTTGATTTATAAAGAAAATTATCCAAATAGCATACCTAAAAAAATAAATTATTACATTAATATTTTATTTTTTAATAAGTTTTTTAAAACTTTTCGTAAAATTCTTAATGGTTTTATACTAAAAAAATTTGAGAAATCCTTATTATAATTTTAATTATTAATCTTCATTACATAACCAATTATATAAAATTTTTAAAAAGTCAATTTTTTAATGCGGTGGAATCAATGTGGGTGAATAATTAACCTGTTAATTAACTGGTTAAAATTAACTTATGCTAGTATTATAAATTTGGCTGGAGTTAGACAATATTTTTGCAATCATAAAAATCTTAATTATTGCTGGCCATTTCGTGACATTTTTGAAGGATACGCAGGGGAAGTTTCAATTTTTCTGTCAAACTGTACCTCTATCAGCATAATAGACATGATTATTATAATAAATTATTCGTGTTAATTTGAAAATCATCTTGTGTGTTAATCTGTCTGTTAAATATTTTTGTTCCTTTTTTTTGCGAAGTAACAATTTTCTCACTTTGACTAAACAAAAAGTAATCTTTGAGTTCATTAAATTACATTTTTATATTATCAAGAAAATATTCTATTTTGTCAACTTTAAAATTAAAGTTAACGTTCACAACATAACGATGATAAACTTACATAGGTAAAGATTTTTAGAATATGTTCTATATAAAAGAATATCCTCTAAATCAAAAAACCGAGTTTCTGGGTAAATCTTTATTTAAAATAAAAATCTATTAAATGATATCTATCATTATATAGAATTTCTGGTTATATAGGTGTTGTTATAAAGTTTTTTATCGTTAACATAGAATTGTTAATATAGAGCTTTTTATTGTTATTGGAGATTTTTTTTTAATGTTAATATAGAGAGTTATTGTAAAAAGTTTTCCTATCGTATTTAACGTTGATATGTATAGATTTTTCTTTTTTTATGTTAATATAGAGTTTATATAGTTTTATCCATTTTATTTCATTTTATGAACATTTATTTTTAATAGATCTTTTCATGAGATTCCCTACCAGTAGAAGTTTTAAAACAGGTCTCTTCCCCAAATTAAACATATATGATCCAAAATTTCAATAGTATGCCACCATATCAAACACAAGAAAATTTTGAAGTTTCAAATTTTGAGTTGATCGCATTTGTAGATGTAAATAATGAATCAGCAAGCATCTGAATGGATTACAAATTTCAATCACATTCAATAACGACAATATCACAAACAAAAGGCTATGATATCAAAGAAAATTGAATTATATTTCAGGAGAACCGTCATTGCATTCATAACCATATGGTTAAGAAAATATAGGGCAAGAAAATTGATGTGAAACGTCCACAATCATCCTGGCACACTATATCAATTGTACTGCAAGCATTCATATTAGACAGAAACGTCGATGACTAAACCATCCACTAGGAATAAACATAATATCACGCACAATTATGTTATTAATTTGCTGAATCACTAAATTTTAGACGGGTAAATGAAGTTTGAGAGGAATTAATAAATCTTTTTAAAATGGACATTCTTCCGCTTCTGTATTTCATGTTTATGAAGATATGGTACATTTTAATGCTGAGAATTAATGGAAAGTCTTGCACATAACCCTGGTTATGATTATGTTACACATCTTTTTTGACAATATAGAAAGAAGCACTTGGAAGTTGTAATGGTGGTGAACAAGTTGGACTAATTGTATTTTTAACAAATAATTCAGCAGCAGAACGGAATGCTTTGTAACTTTATTGGCTAAAAGGTAATTTGATTTTAATTTATTATAAAAATTATAAAAAATTCAAATTATTAATTACTAATTTTAAACTGAAATCATTACAGGAAATATACATTCCATTTTCTGCAAACTTTCTGGTCGTAACTTCATATGCAAAGCATAATACTAATAAAGAAGATCACGTACCTATCATGGAAAAAATGAAGACAATCATCAAATTCAGAAATAAATTCTTGTTATGAAGAGTTTAAACAGACATTTATAGAAATTTGAGCTACAAAATCACTTTGAATTTTTATGAGATGTCGACAATTTGGACTTTATCCTTCTGTCTTAGATTACTGATGCGTGCAATAATACAAATAATTATGTTGAATAAAGTTTTGGCATATTGAAAGATATTATTTTTGCTTAGGACACAATACAAGTGTTTCAGTTTAAAATCATGAATATGAAAAGGTTTTATGAGAGAAATTTGCTTGGAATAGCACATAAACACCCAGGAACTTTATGCATTGCAAAATGGTTTTTTTGTCCTGGCTGAAAAACAGTAAAAGCAAGCTTAATTCAAAAACTAGCGTAAATAATGAATTTTTGATACCAAGTACAAAAAACTACTGGATTTTATATCGTAAATAGTGAAATTGGTGTATATTCTTGTATTATTAGAAATGGTGCTCCTGGTAAATATCAAAGGGCAGTTTTAGTAAAATTTCATATTTTGATGCTTAATTTTCTTCTATCATTAACACCAGATGATCGCATAATTTATGCTTATGTAGCACTTGGTAAGTAAATATATTGACACTTTCATTGTCAAATTTCAGTAAGATTAAAATTTCAAAAACTAATGAATATATATTTATTTTTTTAGGATATATTGTAGAAAATAAGTTTTTCTATGCATCATTGCGTGCACAACTTGCTTCATATCAAATGTCAAATATTAAAATGAGAACATTAGATAATAATTTGATTACCGAACAAATGTAAGTTTTCATTTTATTGATTATTCACAAGAATTGAATTATTTATAATTTTTTTAGAGAACTAAACGAGAAAAATGAAGAAATTGAAGAAATTGATAATTCTGAGATTAATTCTTTCTTTGAAGAAGTAATTTTAATTATCAAAATTCACGTCAAATCTTGCGAATTGCATTGGATAAGTTTAATTATCGTTATAGTACAGCAGAATCAAAATTGATACCCTGCTTATCATCATTTCTTTACGATCTCAATCATGATCTGGATCTGATAGTTGCTATTAGGAGTGGTACATATATACAGGTTCAACCAGAATCAATCAAGTGATAGGAGGTAGTGTCAAGTGAAAATCACCCAGTACCAAATGGTGGAAAAGATAATTCAGATCTCCATGTTATTTCTTGTCGAAAAAGAGGAAAATGGATAAAATAGAATATAATTTAAGTAAGAATGTATTGAATAATTGATCAAATTGAAGGAAGGTATTTATTAAAAATATCATTACATTCATATTATTTACACAACTTTATATTGTAGATATTCAAAATTTAAAGCTGTAATTAATACTTCGTTTACAATTCAAATTTGTAAAGAACTTTCTTAATATTTTATTTTACATTTTATACATTTGACATGTTTTAAACATTGTAAACATCATTTATAGACAAAAAATAAATAAATTTGACAAAAAAATCAGTTTAATCACAATTGGTTAGGCCACATACTCTAGATAATATAATTAGCGCAACCTGGCACAGATTTCAGATGTTCGTTAACATAAATCATATTAAAAATATTTTTTTTTATGAACTAATGTAGTTATTTGAATAAGGTATGTGACTTATAAAGTGAAAAAGAAATTAAAAATTTCGTATAACAAAGTGAAGCTTATATGTAATAATTTAATTCATTTTATTTGTGAATAATTCGACTATTATTAACTTTTACGATTCTCATATTTCTTACCAAAATTTTTTTATTTTTTTATTTTAAATGATAAGCATTTATAATTTTAGTAATTATTTCAAAAACATATCCTTTGATAATGCAAAGCTTAATCCCTTTTATGTATCTCTAATAATTTATGATCAATATCTATCATGTTAAAATAAGAAAGATGAGAAAATTTTCCATTATTAAATCCTAAATTGTTAAAAGAAAATTCTAAAATAATGCTTTGCTTTCCTTCATTTAATCATAATTTCCATTCTTAAGATATATTTCTAATAGTTTTTTTCAGACATGAAAAATTTGACAAAATTATTAAATCTCTTATGTTTGTGGTTAAAAAAAACTATTTATAAAAATAAAAGTGCTAATTTCCTTCAGATATATTTAGTATATTATAAAAAAAAAATAATAATTTTTTGGAGGATAATCAACCTGAATAAGAATTGTACAGAAATCATATAATTGAAATATTTATTAACTTCAAATGAAAATGAACTGATTTTATGGATGCAATGAAAAAAATTTTGTGGTTTATAAATAAAAAATTGTATAATTTACAATATTAAGAATAAATGCTTGCGCTTAGCCAGATATAAATAAACCTATAACTGTTTCTTCTTGATAACGCGTAGAGGTAACAAGTTTCATTCAGGTTAACAAAATTTTTGAGGTGAAAAAAAGAAAATGTATACGAATATAATAGAATCATAAAAAATAGGTTTAAAAAATTTCATCTCAAAATATCATCAAAATACATAAAACAGAATTAAAAAAAAAACAATATATAAAATTCTAATTACAAAATATGGATAAAGTAAACAAATGGAAATTATTTTAAATGCAAAAAGAAATGATAAAAGCAGCTAACTTCATATAATAGATATAATACATCAAGTATCATAGTCATGCTTATTAAAATATAAGCACCCTAATGAAATTTCAAAGGATAATAGTTTTTTTTTGTTTAAATTTTATTTTATTTTTTTTTTTTAAAGAATTTCAAAGATGATAAAAAAAAGAAGAGGTGATCAGCTATAAATGAAGAGAAATGAGGTAAAAACTATCATTAATGGTAATATAAATATCAGGAGGATCAAGATCTATTGGCTTCAGTCATCAACTAAAAAAAAGAATGTAAAGGGTTTCTATATAAATGCTTAGTGAATCAAAATTCATCAGCTCTTATCATCTAGAAAAACTATGAATAAAGTAATAGAGTAAGTTAGTACAGCTATAACAGAAGGAAAAAGAACAATAATAGGTAGAGAAGAAAGGACAGTAACAAGGGAGGGTACTAAAACAGTAGGACAGGAAGGAATTAAAGTTACAGCTATAAAAATAGAAAAAGTAATAGCTGTAGGAGAAGAGAAAATAGAAGATATAACTGTCAAGATTAGGGTAAGGATTGAAGTAAGAGAATTAATGATAAGTGATAAAATAAGTTATCACCTTTACATTTCTCTATATAATACTTTTGGTTCTAATCTAAATGATATTTTTTATAACATTCCTAAAAATGATTAAATAAATATTTTTTAAATATTTTCTTTTCAAATCTTTTAAATATTCATAAAATAAAAATATACTAATACGTATCTAATTAAAAAAATTTTGGAATAAAGGTGACAAATTAAGGTTCTAAGATCTTTTTTATAATTTTTCAAGAAAATAACTAAGAAAACAAATGAATGGCCAATGAACTACATAATTTACATTACCAAACATTTTACTATGATAATGATATTTCTTTTCATATATGATATATTGAATTCATTAAAATTAATTTTTAATTCTAGTTAAATTAAATATTATGTGAGTAAAAAATTGCCATCATATTAAATTATTTCATCTTGTTATCTTAATAAATAGATTTTATTATCTTCATCTTAACTTGTATTTGATCAAAATTTATTTAGTTATATAATAGTGCTAGTGACTTGGATAATCAGAAAAAAAATAAATATATATGTTTTTTATTATTATAAATATAAGAAGAAACCTTTATAATTTTAAGATATTTAAACATTCCTTAAAGTATCATTCACTTAGCTTTATTATGCAATACTTATCTAATTAAATATATTGATAATATAATAGCGATCTTTTTTTTTTAACTTTTTGAGTTAAATTATTTTAGACTATAACAATCAAATAATTTTTTAGTTATTATACATGAGTGAATCAAGATCTATCTAAAAGATTGGTATCAGATTTTTCTTTTTAAATTTTTTAATCATTCATATTGACTAAGTTTTATTTTGTAAGGTATTATTATTAATAATATTTTTTTTTAAAAAAAAAAATAATTAACAGATTTGCATGTAGTAATTTCTTACTATAGTAGATTAATTAGAATCAAAATAAATTATATATATATTATGTATAATAAATTATTTTGCTTTAAATAGAAAATAAATTAAGAATATTTATTAATAGAATATGGAAATTACAATGTTAAACTTCAAAAATAATTGTTCAGACAAGATTTTTCATAATAGATGTATTATTTAAAATGATCAGTTTTTATTCTAATTGTAATATTAAATAATTTATTTAACAAATTTATTCTTTTGTAATATAGAGTTTTCATTTTTTAATACTAGTAAATATCCAGTTTTATTAAATTCAAATTTTCATAATCAACCAGTTTTATTAAACCAGTTTTTGATTTTATGTTATAAATGATTTAAACTGAATTTAAATCAAATTATACCAAATCAGTTTCAAGAATTTAACTTTAAAATTTTTATATTTGATTAAATTACTAATTTAAATGTAATTAACCAAATAAACTATTGACTGACTATGATTAATAAAGTAATAGATAATATAAATGTTTAAGTCTAAAATAGAGATATGATCTATTCATTTAAACTTTGATCATATAATTAAAATCTGAATTAATTTATAATATAAATATATTTATTTTAAACAAATAATATATAGATTTTTGTTTTTATATTTTTAAACTAAACTAATAAAAATAATGATTAATAAAGTTAAAGAACCATATTTTAATAATATTAAACTAAAATAATTAAGTTATAAAAAGGTTAAATCAAATAAAATCTATAAAGAAAATAAAGTTAGAAATTGAATCTGAAATGCTTTAATCTGTATCTTAAAAAAAGTAGCATATATAATTTATAAAATATAAATTATAATTAAAAAAATATATAAAAAACCTTTATAAAGTTAATAAATATTTATAGAATACTAAAAAATAAAAGAAATTAATGTAAATATATTTTTAATAATTACATATAAAATATTTTTTTTTTCAAAAAAAAAAATCAAAATATTATAAATTCATTTTTTAAAAAATTTATTATAAAAAAACTACATTAATTTGAATTATATTTATATAATTTTAACTATTTACTGCTATTTTGAATTTAGTATTTAAAAGATTGATTTCTTAATTAAATTCAAAAATTTAATTTTTATATTTAAAATATATAAAGAAGCTCATTAATTATTTTATATAATGATTATAAAAAAGTTAAAAAAAATATAAAGTTATATCCTTAATTTTAGGAAGAAATTATCAAAGATTTTTAATTAAATATAAAAAAATTTTACTTACTAAATTATTAAAATATTTTATTAATAAATTTAAATTTTAATAAAAATAATTAAAATAAATTTTTATTAAAAATAATTTACCAGTTAAATTATTAAATATTTTTTAAATATATAATAAATATAAATAAAAAATAATTAAAATAATTTACTTTTTAATAATAATATATTTTTAAATAAAAATTTGAATTGAATATAAATTATAATAAATGTAATTAAAATAGATTATTTTATTAATAATAACTTAAAATTTAAATTATTAAATAAATAAATAATTTATTAATTTATTATAATAAATATATTTAAATAATTAAATGAAATAATCAATTTTTATAATATTATCAGAATTAAAATTTTGTTAATTTAAATAATAGTTTAATTTAAAGAAAACTTATATTTTATAATATTTAATATTAATATTAAGAAAATTTTAATTTAATTATATTAAGAAAAAATGTATAAAAAATTGTTAATCATATTAAATAAAAGTATTAGTAAAATTTAATTATAATTTAAGAATAAAATAATTTACTAAAATTAAAGTTTAATTAAATTAGTTATATATTTTATTAGTAAGAATAAATGACTTATAATCTAATATTATTATCATTAAAAGAAAAATAAAATTAATTATTAAGAATTATAATATTATTTAACAAATTACTAATAATAGTTATAGTTATATTT